CGTTTAGTTTAGCATTGCGGTCCCTCTGCTGGTTTAGACTGTGCTCCAGCTCCTCCATTTTCTCACGCATCTCCTTCAGTTTCCTACACACACACACACGCACGCACACACACACACACACCAGAGAGCAAGCTCCATGTATTGCTGCTTAGTAACTCAATCATGTTGGTGTGTGTGGGTTTATTCAGTGAACAGCACTCACATATTTTCATCTTTGGCATCCATCTTCATGGCTTACTCCTCTCCAATGCTTGTGGCAAAACAGGTATAGCTCATTAATGGCATACTAAATAGTCATCATGGTGTCACTGTCAATAAACAGTCTCTGGGTTATATCTAGTTAACTCATCTAACTAGTGTAACATACATTCATTCTTAAAATGTGCACAAAGTAGAACTAACAATAAAAAGAGCAGAAATAGCTTTTATCCATCCTTCCAAGACTGATTTCAATTGGCATTTAAAACAATGAGATGGGATTGCAATGAATGCATCTCAGCTTGTTATTGATGGAAAAGGGCCCTTTGCGTCTGTAACAGTAAACATGAACAACCCTTTTCTGCTAAATTATATTTGAAAGTTAACAAACATAATATAAATTAGCTCCTGGATGACCTGCTGCAGCATTAAAGTGATAAATACAGTAATTGCTCAATTATTACAATTCAGTTATGTATAATTCTGAAATTAGTCATTCTGCAAAATTAGGATTTGTAATCATGCTAACGCAGGGCTTATTAGCTAGCCTGTAGAACATGCCTAACTGTGTTGTTGCTACCAAGCAACATACTTCCTTATGCCACTGTTAAAAGCTGGCTACATTTTCATATGTGTTAAAGTAAAATACATATAAAATATGACTAGGATAATTACGTGGAGTATTTTACAGGACCTGTTGAACCCATTCACTTATATTTTCAAAGCAGATTTAGCTAGCTAACATTAGCCAACGTTTCTGAGCTAGCTAGCGTTCCAAGCTAGGATACCAAGTTTACCAAAAGTTATCATACTGCTATAATACTACATTCAGCTAAAACTACTGTTTTTTAAAAATGATATCTGCTTTAGAAACGGGAAAAAATGATGCCTTACTAGCGAGTAAATCCAATACAATGGAGTTGCACCAGCGGAGTTGTTGTTCGAAGACTGCACGTTGCTGGTAACCATGCACCTGGCAGTGACTGTTGCTAAGGGAAGCATTTTCAATTGTTGTACTTGCTTTGTTATTGTAGTTTTTTTTTACATTAAAACCTAATTACAATCAGATACATAGCCATTAGAAAACACTAACTTTTTTATGAATTCTTTACATTTTGTAGTGCTAGAATTTGTGTTTTATGCAGGTTTTATGCAGCATACTGTAATCATTTGAAAATCTTTTTTGTTAGTCAAACTAGATACAATTATGCTTTATTGTTTACATTCAACAATAAAGTGCAGGATTAGACCCTGACCACTATTCTAATTAATTCAGAATGTGATGAATGAAAAAGTTGCAAAAGCGAGCTATTTTTTTTAATTTGATTTATCTGTCTTTTTGATAAATGATTATAAATGTTCATTGTATTTTGTTTTAATTTCTACATTAGAATCAAAATCTGCAAGAAAAACTTTTTTTTCACTCAAGCATGCATGTGTAAAATTATTAGAAAACAGCAGAAAACACTTCCCACAAATCCACATTTTGCTATTACAACACAAAAAACAAACATATAATAATACAATAAAAAAAAGTATCCATGGCTCTGGTCTTCCCTTGAGATAATTTATTGGGTGTGACCCATATAAAATGGCCAACAAAAAGAAATAGGAAGACATACCGTATATATAATAGCAAACAATTAATAAAACCTAAACAAACAATATTTGGCAGATCTTTTAGGACAAGTGCGATTACCTGTCAGAACAAAGGCTTGTCATTTTTATTTCCATTTACAGCGAGTAGGAATAAAATAACAAAAACAAAAGTGCAAAAGAGAGAGAGAAAAAAGATGGTACTGACGTAGCAAAAGTCAGTTGGCATCAACGGCTGTGAGAAATGTTAACTGTGTCCCAAATCCATACTAAATGGAAGATCAAAGCAGGCTTTGAGTACATAGTGTTAATAACAAAATAATTATATATTTTCTTTCAATTAATATGTCGTAAGGACGGGCCACAGGTTCAGAATCAGAACTGAACAATTCAGTTTATTCGATTTATTCCTACTAAATGTTATGTTATGTGCAATTTCTATTGACTGTTTTCTTACAAATGTTTTCCTTCATTGTGAACCCCCCCCCCCTCTCAGTGGTCTTTATGTCTTACTCGATGCAACAAAAACCAGCAGAGAGCACAGTGTAATACATCAGCTGGAGCTCAGGAGTGGCTGTCGATTAGTGGAAAACAAAATCACTGCTAACGAACAGAAGATTTAGAATCCTATTGGACTTGTCATCATCAAGGCCAAACTGATTATAACCTTCAGATTTATATTAAAAAAAACAGTACGAAAAAGGCCGATTCAAGTGACTACCCAGAGGTTGTAGTCAGCTGTCGCAAGTGCTTGTAAACAAGAATTTAAACCTATATATGTTACTCCATTCTCATTTCAGAGTTGTCCTGATACGTCTTCATGGCTCAGTATTCCAGCGGAACACTGCTAATTTCTGTGTTAATATACAGAATACCTTTAAATGGAGGTCAATGTACCCTTCTGAAGTAGGCCCATCATTTCGTTGTCCCCGCACGGGTAAAGGCTACGGAGAAAATATCGGTAGACAGATATACCCAGTCACATCTTAAACCACCACACTGCTCTGTCTTCTTCCCATCCCAAGCTACCTCTCCGTGAACTGAGGTGTCCTTTGTTACAGCTGCTGCTCCCGATTACATTAACTATCACCACTAAAGCAAAGACACACGGCTTGTTCATATTCAGACTTTCAGCTGTTACCGGCTGGGGTCCAGCGATCCTGTGAGCTGGAAGTGTATCCCGTCTCCGGGGAGAGGTGATGGGATGAGAGGGCAGAGCCAGCAGAGGTACCAGCGAACACCCAGACAGTGACGTAGGTTTCCCAGGACGCCGAGGTTGTAAGGTCGGCGGGTCGAGTACCATTCCCTGGTGGTCTGTCCCCGAAACATCAGGATTATGTGGAAGAAGAAGAAGGCGGACACCAGCAGGAAGCCCACCACGCATGTGTCGGCGATGAATGCGAAGGCAAAGGCACCTGGTGACACCTGGCCTGGGGAGAGAAGAGACAGCAGCAGAACTGATTAAAAGAAAGCCAGTGATATAAATACAAGCTTAGGTTAATATTGTACATTAAATAAATGTGGTTACATTTACAACCCCTTGCAGCGTTATTATACACCGAGAGTTGTGGGGATCAACCTGCAATTATCCTTCCTACAAACAGACCGAAAGTGGCAAAACCAGCTCCTACCTGACACCAGCATGATCCAGGGTATGACCAGCAGCATGACGCTATGCAATGTCACACCCTCCTTCAATATGACAATGAAGACCTCTGCATTCATCAGAGTGGCGTACAGGAGCCCAGACCACATAAATAACAAGCAGCTCAGGAAGTAGCGGTAGTTACGGAAGCCCACGCACTGGCCAAAAAAGACACAGTGGTGATCCCGCCGCAGCACACACACTTTGCAGTCGTAGCAGTGGGAGCAGCGAGGAGGAGTGTGTGTCTCACATGTATAACAGTACCTGTTGGAAAAACAAGAACAAAAATACATTTATTTATAATGAGAAATGCTGCTTTGGCTCTAAAATACTGTTTTGTTAATCTCATTAAAACAAAGAGACTGTGATCATCAGACGGGGAGGATGTGGGAGGATATGCAAATTTGAAAAAAACTCAAACATTGAGTGCGTCTGTTTGTTTTTACATAACTAGAACTGTAAAATAAAATTCAGTTGTTTGCTTCTCTGCCAAGATGGACAGTTTTTCCAACTCACTCGTGACGATAATTCACCATTTTCCTAATAATGGAAATATACCAAGCTCAACCTATTGTGAGATTTATTATCTAGAAAAAGCATTGCTTTGGGCCAAAAGAAAACTGTGGAACAAATCAATCTTTACACCTGTAAAAAAGCCAAATATAACTCTCCTAATGGTGGAAGTCGGACAGTGGGGATCACATTTTTCTCTCCTCTATTCTATCAAATTAAGAAAAACACCAAATGGTCATATTATAATTAAACTATAAAATAATAATTGTATTCTAAATATCATTGTACATGGAGTAAATAGGGTCTAGCCAAAGTAAGAGCAACAGACACCACAAATAAACAGGAATATGTAAACAAGGAGGCTTTATATAGTTTACTGTGAATCCTCAAACCAAGGCTGTATGAAGAATTCCAAATAAAACCCCATTATTTCCTTATATAACCCCTGCACTCCTCACCTCCACCCCTGACCCATGCCATCTCCCCCCAGGAACACCCCCCTGATGCTGGGGCTGGTCTGGAGGAAGAGCAGGGCGTTCCAGCAGATGTTCCCGAGCATGAAGTACTGAGCCAGCAGGTGGACCGCCTTCCACCAGCCGGACCACTCCGTCTTCTGCTGGTCCGCCTCCACCAGCACCAAGTAACTCACCTCCCCGGTGATGGAGAACACCAGGAAGGTGTTGAGGAACACTGGGAGGTGGCGGCACACCCTGTCGACCCTGCCGAAAACTTTACTAGCTAAACTGGTCATGTTTCCTGCCTGTCCAGCTCTCCGTGATGTGACAGCTCTCAGGGCGGGGAGCGGTTTGACAGGCGCACTCTAGTAACCGTTTGTTAGCTTATAGATGATAATAACCGCTCCAATAGCTTTGTGTTTGAAGTTACATTAACCGCATGATATCAACAATACTTTATATAACTTTCAGACGAATTCATGAAATGAAAGAGTTGAAATGAACGACTCTCAGTCTCTATTAACTCCCTCACTACCGCAATCTCAGCTACTCGACCGAACGCTCCCGACAGGTGCTACATGAAAATACATCCGCATTGAAACAACGCACTCTGGTTCCGCTTGTGTATGTCACCCGTCCCATGGCCATGGGTGGACAATCGTGTGCTCCTCTAAATAGGTTTCATTTAAAATCGTACACACAATATTCTGTAAAAAAAAAAAACTAAAGAGATTTAAAAGTGATTTACTTTTCTTGTCATTTCTGTAAATTGTTTTTATTTTCACTTCATCATGTTATCATATTGTCATGCTGGCTATTTTATTATTTTGCATGTATTAAAAAGAAAAAAAAGCTCTCACTGCAGATTAACCCCATGTGTTTATTGGCAGCATGCCTCTGATCCCTCCCCCCCCCAAAGAGGATACCTTAATCCCTGATAATCTCTGTATCCACTGAAAGCCTGCAGTCATGGCTGCATCGAAGAAGAAATCACTGCCTCTAAGGCACCTGACGGACACTTTCATAAACCAAAGAGAGCAGATGCTAACAAAGAGGTAAGCTCCTTGAATATGAATTCAGGAAGAAGTTATCGAAGAAGTAATCGCAGTTGTTAGACTTTCTCTTCAAAATCATTAAAAACAGAAACCCCCCAAATACAATTGGACTTCTGTATGGGTTTTTACAGTGTGGTGCAAAAGAGGGAGTACATAATGTAGTTTGGGTAATGTTTTTGATTTTTAAAGATGTTGTGTGTGAGGGTAGAAAACTGTGTGTGACACCAGTTAGTACGATGCTGCATTATGATCCACTATTTTTATCTAAGTGTCAACAGGCCAATGCTATTCAATAGAGACTTTTCAACTCCTCAGAATCAGCCAAAGCAGTGCATAAACAAAAGGCATCAAAATGCTATTCATCATTGTGTATGTGGGTGTTAATCATGTTAATCTGTGTGTGTGCTTGTTTCATGCAGCCACCTGCAGGAGCGCTGGCAGGAGCTGAAGGAGAGAGAGCTCATCGCTCAACAAAACAACAGGCAGCTGCTGCAGCAGTTTGATGATGCCCAGGACACACTGAGAGAGATGATAACACTCACTGCTGACATGACAACTATTCGGGTGCACACACATTAAACAAACTTCCCATTTGTACTTCACCCCTGCCTGAAGCGTTGGTGCTGAATCCTCTTCTTGACCTTTGACTCCTTCAGATGGAGTACGAGCGGTACCTGGAGGAGAGTTACCCCCGCTGGCAGCAGCAGCTCGAGAGGAAAACACAGTCTGCTCAGAGACAGGTACGAGAGATTCACACGATGCAGTTTGTGTCCAACCAATACACTGGTTCTGTATTTTGAATTGATGCAATAAAACTGAGAACATTAACTTGTTTACAATTAACTTGTGCTTAAGTAATGTACACGTACCTTAATACTTCTTTTTGAGTATTTCCATCTACATACATTTACTTGTAGTGCAGTGTTCTTGCAGTGTGGAATTAGCCCTTTTAATTAAGTAAAAATTCTAAATACTTCTTCCACCACTGTCTTTTACAGAGCATGGAGGAGTACTTAAGGTCATGTCTAAAGAACAGAGAGGAACGGGTGTCAACATCCTCAGCAGATCGAGGTTTGTCCTCTTTACTCACTTCTTTAGTTTTAAAGGGTTGTTCTATCTAGACACACGCCGACTCCTATCTAATGTCCATCTTTGTTCCAGGCCCAACATCAATGTCACAGCAAATGGTTGCACCTCCAAACCACTACAGCCAAAACCTCCACATGGACTACAACCAACATGGCTCCCCTCGTCTCCCCTACGTACAAACTTCCTGGCAGCCCCCCACTCAATTCCAGAGAGCTAGGTTTCCCATCAGAGCCCAACATCAACCCCAGGGTTACTCTCACGTCCCTCCATCTTTCCCCCAACATCCTGACCCATGCCATCATCAACACCTCGACTCCCCACCCGGCTATCATCACTCCAGGCAAGATGCACCAGGCTGGGCCCCCCTGCAGCCTGAACCCCCCTGGCCTTTGGCTGCTGGTGCGGCTGGGATCTCTGCATGCTCCGAGGCTCTGTTGGGTCCGCTCTACAGGGAGGAACCCCCTCGTGAGATAAAGGTGACGGAGGAGGAGGTGGACACAAGCCTAGCACCAAGCTCAAAGAGAGAAGGAGGGAGTGGAGGCAGGAGCAGTCATTTTTCCCAGGAGCTGGACATTAAACCAGGTGGGAAAATAAACATTTTTTTTTTCTTATGCTCTTCCTTAGTAAATATGTTAATTCCCCTCAGATATTCATTTTCATTGTGTGTTGACGTGCTGCGTTTAGTTCGTCTGTCTGGTGGCCCTGCAGAGAGCAGCAGGGAGTCCAGTCAGGGGAGCAGAGTGGAGAAGAAGAAGAGAGGCACATCACAGAAAGCGTCCTTGGACAGCTGCAGCTCTCACGAGTAAGTCATATTGTTTATAATAGTCTCTCAGAGAATCTAGCTCTTAATAGAGACTCTGGACATTTTTACTAGGTACATATTATCATAATCATAAGTAACAGATCAACATTTGAATGACAGTTCTAACTTTAGTCATCTAAAACAACCCCTTTCCTCTACATGTGTATTTGTTATAAGTTGCAATATACAGAAAAGAGCTGAGGCATTCACTTTCATTTAAAGTTTGCCACAGCTTTGACCTGAAGCAAACTATGCAGCAATTTTACAATAAAAAAAGCTAAAATTTGAGTAAAGATGTCAAAATCTTTGGGGCGTTCATGAACCAGAGGATGAATCAGAATCAGAGATACTATATGAACCACTTATGTTCTACCATATAAATTAACTTGCATATATAATTCTTTACAATTTAATTGTTCATCCATTCTTAATTTTAGGTCATCTGAGAGTTCCAGTGCAATCGTCATTGCTGCAGCAACAGCAGCCCAAAACTCAGAAAGCGACGCCTCATCAAAGAAAAGCAGATCCAGCACGAGTAGGGGGAAGAGGAGTGGTGAGGGGCTCGCTGTCGGGGGAAGCAAGGGAGACAACTCAGGGAGTCCCAGAGAGGAGAGTCGGTCCACTAGTGAGGAGTTAGGGGGTCTAGTTGAGGAGGCCAGGATCGAAGGAGGAGGTAATCAAAGACATGGGGATAATTCAGAGAGCTGTGGAGAGGAGTCAGGGTCCCAGAGGGAGGAGTCAGGGTCCCAGAGGGAGGAGGAGGCTAGATCCCAGAGGGAGGAGGAGTCAGGGTCCAAGAGGGAGGAGTCAGGGTCCCAGAGGGAGGAGGAGGCTGGGTCCCAGAGGGAGGAGGAGTCAGGGTCCCAGAGGGAGGAGGAGTCTGGACATGTTAGTGTAAAGATTGAAAACAGAGGTGGAGATGAAATAGAAAAGCAGGAGAGTAACAGCTCTGAACAAAGCAGTGTAGAGGGAAAGGAAGAGAAAGAACCAGGAAGTGGAGATGGAGAGGGAAATGGTGGTTGCGCTGAAGAAAAAGAGAACAACCAGACAGATGAAGAGCAAGAGGAAAGAGACGTGGATGATGATGATGAAAATGTGGCATCGGAAAAAAATAATACTACAGATAAAGAAGAGGAGACAGGATCGGGAGAAGAGGATGAGGAAGAGGAAGAGGAGAAGGGTGATCCTGAGGAAGAAAAGTCCGAGATGTTGCAGATTGAAGATGGTGAGAACCAAAAAAGGGTTTCTACATCTTCTCAACATGAAGATGAGGACAATGAAAGAGAGGAGAACACGGATGATGAAGAGTCAGATGAAGACGAAGCAGGAGAACCAGAGGAGGAAAGAGATTCAGACGACAGCATCATCTCACCACCGCAAAACAGGTGGATATTTAACCACAATGCATCACTATCCACAATGTATTATCTCTTTATGAATTTTGGCTGTTTTAAAGCATATGGCATACATTTTGGTGTCTTTTGGTATTTTGAAGGGCTGCACAAGGTTAAATAATAACATGTTAATCACTAATGACAGTACGTAGACTTGAAATGATCTGTTGTTTTCAGATCTAAAAAGATGAAGGTTATTCCTGAAGAGAACAGTGGAGAAGATGAGGAGGAGGAGGAGGAGGAAGGGATCAAAACGGAATCCTCTGAAGATGAGATCAGTGACGACGATGTCGAGAATCTACTTGCGCCTCAAGATCAATCTGAGAAAGAGTGAGTTACGTTTGACTTCTGATAGCAGAAACTACAGCTTTACCAATTTCATCTCATTACCTTGTTAAAAACGTATTTTCAGAGGAAAGGACCTGAAAGCTGCCGAGAAACCAAAAGGTAAAGTATTGTCAGTTTTCATTTAAAGATGGATTCAATATTGCCATAAATGTTTGTTTTTGAAGATTGCTATCCGTTTCTTTTCCAGCAGTTTGTGACAACGTGGAGATGTTTCAAGTTAAGCCGGACAGATCAACCAAGTCGGATCACCCGAGTGACTCTGATGAGTTCGACCAGTTTTATGAATAAATGTAACAACCTCTGAAACAAAAGCCTACCTCAGGATGAAGTGTTAAGAGTATTATATAGTAAACAACTTTATTCAAATGTGTGGTCGTTTGGTACCGTTTATTGGTTTGTTTTCTTAGGTTTGATTAAAGATGTTATCTAAATGTATCAATACCAAAACATAACTGACATTAAACTGCTTTATATACATACTTAAAAGTGTTTATGTTGACTACTAAAGAAATAGATCTTCCTCCTCCACTCAGAGCCTAAGAAACAGAAATATACAATATAAAACGGCAACACTAGTAGATGTAAGAGAAGACTACAAAACAGTACAAAGAGTGACAATAATTTATTGAAAATAGTTAGTTATGGCTGTCTGAGCGACTCACATTCTACCACAGTCGTGAAACCACCAACCAGACATGTTTGTTGTATACAAATAAACCCAATGAGCACAGTAGATTGTTTCTGTAAGGCGTGTTTTCCATCAGCGTGCCTGGAGAGCACAGCATTTAAAGCTGCTTGCAAACTGGTCCTGGTTCAGTCAGCTCTTTTCTGTTGAAGAGTTTTCAAAGTCTTAATGTTACTTTAGATTTTCACCACCTGAGCAGCCAGACAGGGGCTCACTCTCGTCCCGTCGTCTGACGCGGCGCTGCGCTGGATGAGCATCCGGCCGTAGGTCCCGCCCACCTGGCCTTTGGTCAGCCGTCCAGGATTCACACACACACAGCCGACCACGTTCTGAAAACAAGAGGAGAGGAGGTTTAAAGACATATTGCGTGGGCTAATCAAAAAACGAAAAAGATAGGGATAGGGATATTCAAAACAAATGTCCCGTTTGAAGAACCTCTACATTAGTAAAAATTAGTTGTTTTTTTATCTTTTCTACAGATGTGTCTTTGTTTTAAATAATGTTTTGGACTGATAACTACATTCAAATAATTTCAGAAAGAAAAAATGTTGTAATATGAAACTGACCTGAAAACTGCACATATCTTAATTTTGACAATGTAGGAATAATTCCTTTATTACATGGACTAGAAATTATATGTTTTGCCTTCTGCCTTCAGTGTTATTTAAAAACTCAGATGTGTTTCCCATGGCTTGACTCAATTAACTTCTTAAACATTTTGTTTTTTTAAACTGAACTCAAAGCTGCACTTATTTTTGAATCGACAATACTTTAGATGAGAGTGGGCTCTGTAACCAATAACTGGGCTAAGTG